CAGACGAAACGTTCGATCCTAGGATTCCTAAAGATCCTGATCATTCACTGTTTTCTGATTCCGTTTCCTGTTATTTCCATCCATCTAATAAATCCAAATCGCTTGTGTTCTATCACGTATAAACACATACCTTGACTCTGCAGAGCCATCCTGGACTAACAAAGAGAAGGCTTCTACAGACCTTGTTAAAGTTTTAAAGAGGTTATGAATTTTACTTTATTGCGTACATTTTTCACTGAAATGTAAGCACTACGCTGACAGAGGTCCATTAACAGTAGAGTGTGACTTTTGGCAAAATAATTTAGGGCTACGCAGTACTAGCCATTTTCAAGCGACATTAAGTGAGGTTTAAATCGGGAATTCCAGCTTATTAGTTTAGAGACTAAGTGGTCAATCACAATTGGACATACATCCGTACTTTCAGGTTGAAAAAAAGTTGTGCTAAAACCGTTCATTTGCTGAGAAGGGTGTCAGAAAGAGTGTTAGATCATCGCGTTTACACAGTGATCTCACAACCAACTCCGCTTTAACAAGCAAGAATTTTAACCTCACTCGACAAACAAATGAGTGAGTGAAATTACAATAGAAGACTAGATGAGAGCGGTTCCCTTGAACGAGGTATATCATATTGTGATAAGTAGTTTCTCAGAAGTGGAGAAATAATTTTGACCCATGCATTTAATGTTGTTTATCAATTTCTTTAGAGGAGTGTTACCAACGTGCTTTTCTCCCTAGAGTCTGAGACATGGATACTACTATCTGGCTTATGTGGTAAAGTACCTGCAGACTTTCTGCCACAAATTCCGAATGATGTGCAAAGAATAGTTCGAACTGTGCACTTAATGTCCACATTTGAGAAATATATTTCTGTTGACTATGCCTGTAAACATCGATTGTCTCGGTATGATGAGATAGTGATCGAATTTAAGAATATCAAAATGTCATAGGTTTGGTATTGGAGCCTATCTGGTGGGGAGTGCTCCGTACAAAGTCGAAGCCAAGTGTACCCTTCGGGTTAGAATTCCTAAGAAGGAAGGAAACAATAAGATTATACCAACTGATGGTGCACGAGGCCGGTTTATTTCTTTTAAAACAACGTTATTACAGGAGCGGGTCGAAGTTACCATAAGCATTGAGGATAAATATCCCGTGATCGTGTTAGTATCTACATCTTGGTTTCAGTTTGACTGCTCTTATGGGAACGGGCAGTGTTGCGTTAGTCAGAAAAAGAGGCCAACGAAAATCACTCTTGTTCATGATTGTTTATAATCTAATTGGGTTTTTTTGTTTCTGGAATGCCGGATATCAGCGGTGCATTGTGTTTATGTTTCAGAGTTAGGTGCACTAGGTGTGCTAGGTTAGTGGCTGTAGCAGTTGCATTTTCGAGCATACATTTAGTTGTACTTGGCCAATGCCGTACACTTCAGTAATGACTAACACGCCAGGCTTCAGTGTTGCGTAGAGATTCGGTAAAACCTCATTTTCAAGTAAGCAATGGAGGATTTGGTTAAATTTCAAAGGTGAACTAGTGGTGTATAGTAAATGAAACGTCTACTGAAAAGCTACTCAAGCGGGTCCAGTGGGTGGCATGCTAGCCTTCTGCCCATGAGGTCCCGGGTTCGATCCGCAGTTGGGTCGATGGATTCGCACTGCTTATGAGAACCAACCAGGTCTAAACGGCTGTCCAGTGCTTTCTAGCTTTTCAGTTCACGCTTTATTTGCTATACCCGACGAATTCATCCTTAAAAACCTCATTTTCTTGGTGCAATTTCAAACGTTACCAATTAGCGGATAACTTTAATAGTGAATCTCAATCCTGCTAATCGAATTTGGTTTACTAGTTAAATGTTTCCTTAGGCACAATTAGAAGGAACGATGATGACATCCATGCCAACTCATTCATCCCCATAGGAAAGTGTACTATTCCATATGTTTTATTTTTCGTTGATATAATACAGGTTATAGTTTGAACTACATGAGGCAGATAATGGGTTCGTTTGAGTGGTTAAGCTGAATTTCTGAAATTTGACAACACATCCAGATTTCTAATAATTGTAGCCAGGTTTAATGTTCTCATAGTCATTTTCATAAATCATGTATCAAATATATCCAGGTCAAATGCCTTTGTACATCCACAGAGCCAATGAACCGGATGGATAACAACGCTACATTAATGCTATTCATCATCCAATGAGTCTTCTTACATATCCCATTGGCGGTTTACCATCCGTGCTATTACAGTTTCTAATTATATTGATGCAATGAATTGTGCCTCACGGCGGTCACTTGTTTATGATATACTTGAGAAAATAATAGAAATTATCATTCGAAAGGACACAGGATGTTTTCCATCTATTGTGTCTGACCGGTATCATTTGCTCCAAACCCCTCTCAATCACTCTAACATGTTCTCTCCGACGCCTCTCTGGATCTTTAAAAAGTTAAACACCGCGACACGGTGCTGAACAAACACACAGGTTTATTACACGCACGGGCGAGCAGCGGGTCCTGGGACACTCAAACTACTCGAGCGGCGCTCACATGCACTGTCTGTGGTCAAAAACTATATCCCGCTCACCCAAAGTAATGCGACCGAATATTTTGCTACAATTTCATATCGGACGCTCAGGTACCCGTTACATAGTGCACAACATGAACAAACAACTGTTTCGCAGTTTCACAGTGGCGTAGAATATGCCAACTAAAACCATTCCGTATCCGTGACCAGCGAAAGAAGGCATTAGGAAGAGAGTTCACATTGACTGCACCGAAACATTTAGGCAACGGCGCTACTTGATCGTGAGAGACGCATGTAAATGGCCGTCGTTGTACCTTGTGAAGGATACGACAAACGGTGCACCGATGAATACCCTGAAGAGCCTGATCAGTACACTTGGATACGGCGAGGTGCTGATGAGCGATAGCGATCGACATATCTGGACACCGGCCTTCACAGAAGTCAGCAGTTAGGCTGGTGTCCAACGTATGAATACTGCACCACATTAAACACAATGAGACGGATAGGCTAAAATAATTGTGGATACGTCTTACAAGCACGACAAAAGATAGATGGGATATGGGATGTTGGAGAGGATACCGGTGAACTTCTTATTGCATTAGTGAGTGCATCTAATCGCAAGCTGTTTAATGGGTTCTTAATTAAAGGAAGCCCTGACTTTTAGTAAAATCGTTATGCCTTTCATAATAATTTGGCAGCATTATCAGAAGAGAAGAGCAAAAAACGTTATTTGTAGAGTGATTCAAAATACAGCACGAAACACAATTTTGCGTCTCATCCAGAGCAATTCATGCCAGATTATTATAGTGAAAAAGCAGTAATGTAGCATGTGGAATCCTGATAGTATAAACGTGTGGTTTCGCCATACGAACTAACCTACCGTAAACAGGTGCTGCACCGACACTTGATCTACTCAGAGTTACCATTGAACCTTCCAGAGAAGAACCTTGCGTTCCACCTCCACTGAGACCTCAATAAAAGCTTTCCAAACAGAACAGGTGATGAGTGAGACAACGAATGCCTCCAAATGCCTTTCTTAATGGTTCCTAACAATGCACGTAGGTCGAAAAACCTTAGATTGAAAAGCAGAGATTTCAAGCAGTCGGTATATTCTGTAAAAGCTGTATTGTTTCACGACGAGTAATCGTATACAGGATAGTGCCGCGTGGGTGGTAGGTCAGAATATGAACAGTGGTCGAAGATCTACTGAATCAGTCACCGTGCGCACATATATTTTTTTGTTGTCTGTTTCTCATGATTAGGCGTGTTTTTTGGTGCAATCAACGAACTCAAAGAAGATTCCGATCGTGATGCAATGCACCATCCACGGACTTGATCTTTGAACCCTGGCAGTTCGTCAATGGGTAATTATTCCNNNNCCCCAATCCTTCACCAAGACGATCCGTATCACCATCCCAAACTTTACTCAACTACTCCCGCTTATTGAACGGCCAAACCTACCGTTTTAGGAAGACGGGAGAGGGTTCTTATGTCGTAAAAACGAGTAAAGTGTGTCGTGGGGTTGGAGCTCGAACACACGTGTTGGTAGGAACTTTTCTAACCAGTTTTATTGTACTCTTTTGACATTAGTGTCGGTTACTCTATTTGATTTTTCTTCAGCATATCCTTTGTTATTTTGGCTTTCGTGACTTCTATAATTGCTGTGTTTACTGAGTGATTTAAGTTATCATTTAATGAAGGCTATATTCTCCTTACTTCATAGGAAGAGGATGCAAAGATTAGCGCAAAGTATTCAAGACTGTGGCATTATGATGAATTCGTCGTGTAAATGAGGTGTGAGCTGAAACGCTAGGAAGCACTAGACAGGTGTTTCGAACTGTGAGTTCCCGGGTTCGATCCCTAGTTGAGTCGATGGATTCGCACTGCTGATGAGACCCAACCAGGTCCAAACAGCTATACAGAGCTTCCTAGATTTTCAGCTCGCGCTTCACTTACACGACGAATTCATCATGTAAACAAATGAAATCCACCATTACTCTCATACAACTATGGTAATGCTAGACATCTCATCTTGTGGTTGATATCGCGCACAGTTAAAAGCACAACAGTTAGAAATAATACGTGAAATAAGCATTATTTAGCGGATCCAGGACATCATACTCTATATGAGGTCTAAATGTTGTTTAACATAACTGAGGACAACAACACACCTCTTTCGGTTATTCATTGAACTGTGATATCCATCTCTTACCGCTTGCTGGTTTCATTATGGAAACTAAAAATATGGGTATGGATTCGGTCAAGCTTGCCTCCGACAAATCCAGGAATATGGTTATGAAACGTGACCCCTCAGACTCAAAATAAGTCTAATGTATTAGAATATAAATATTATACCGATAGATTGACATTCGAAAATGAAATCACAAATTGGCTGGCTAGTGGCTTCTTATTGCACTTCTCTTGCAACGCATATCTACCGGTTTAAGGAGCAACCGTTCGCTAGATATGATTATTTTCATTCTTAACAATCATAGTCCACCGTAATGTTTAGCCCGCTTTCCTGTTTCTGTATCAGATGAAACAAAATCAACTTACAGCATTTGTCACACTGTTGCGCGTAAATGACCTGTTCAAATTCTTCACTGAACGGCACAGGTGTTCCCGTAAGTGTGTAGTATGTGTCCGCTCCGTTGGTGCTCGGTTTTAAAAACATCACGTATTTTGAATTGGGATAAAAATTATCCAAACAGCCCAGTTCCTCAGTAAGACCAAGCAATGGTGTGTGAAACGATCCCACAGTGATTAGTGTGTTCACTAAATCCGGACCAACGTTTTTGTATTGCACAGTCACAAACACACTGACATTGAACTGTTGTCCTTGTCCGCTAGCCTCAGCTTCGACAGGACCATCCGAGCCGGAACCGAGTTTGATATATCTCTGCCGCAATAGCCCGGTCACGACAATCGGGCTCTGACGAATCACTGCCTCCCAGTCCACCGGTTCGGGCGACTCGGGGCAAAGTGGTTGAGCCACATTTTTGTCCTTTTCGGTGTCGGATCGAAGACTGAAAAAATTCCCTGCACTGGCCCAGGGATCCAGATAGGATAGGAATAGGATGGTGCATACCAAGCTGAGCACAAAACGCACGGACATTTTCAATCGGCGCGACAAAACGTCACGCTGTGTGACAAACCGATGCAATTTGTCCCTGGTTCCTTGTGGTACAACTAATTTTATCACAGAGCAGACCATAAGTTTGTGCCGCAAACTGGCTGGAGCGGTGCACTCTAGGCTTAGGATAGGTCAATGCATGACGATGGATTGATTCTGTGTGTGTTTGTGTCAATAAATATAACACGTGGGTGCACTGTGGCAGAAAGAAGTAGGAAAGTGTGAGATCACAAGAACAATAAAGACTCGACGAGGTACTCACACCTGATGCCTTAATCACTGGAGATACTTTGATGGGTAAATGAAAATCCACACACTTTTGCACGAGTAGACAGGCTTCTTCGTCGTACGAGGTGTCTGTACCAAGTGCATGCCATTCGCTAATTTATCAATGTGTGGGAGTGAGAAGGTCGATCTATTACGCACACACAACAACACTCAAGCGCAGATCACGTGTTTTTCAAAGGTGAACTGATATGTGCACATGAATCTAGCTCCACCCACGCCCTGGTGAGCTCGTAAATCTGGGATGCACATTGTCATTTTGTGTGATCACAACGGTACAATCACAATCTCCATGATGGCACGCGCAGAAACGTAGACACAAAGTCCAATATGGTTTACTTTTCACTTGGCAAGTAAAAGTACACATCTACAAAATGCTGCCTAATCCAGTCCTCACGACCGATAGTAATCGATTAAACCGCTAAATTTGTGGATTGATTTGCTTCCGGGTGAAATAAATCTCGTACACCGACAAATTGGAGGTTCTCCTTCCGCAAGTTAAAAACAACGTGGTTGATGAGTTTATCCACAACCGTTTGTTGGGTTTGTGGAGTAAGTCAGTTGAGTGCATTTGCATACTGGCTTACTCACCGACATGATTAGCGTGAACGGAAGCATTTTCAGTATGTGTTTGTGTGAGGGAGTGTGTGTGTGGGGGGGAGATCTCTATCTTGTAGGGAAAGCAGTCACCCCATTGAATTGTTATACTTTTCAGAATATGTTTTACCGCTACTCGCACAAACATATTGGTCGATGTACAAAATTTTCGAACACTTCACTAAAAGCGTCTCCGGTCAAGAATGTGGTGCACACACAAACACACTGACAGTTTAGCTACACATGACCATTGTTCAAATATGGCCTAGTCAAATCACACGTGGTTCCAAAGAACACCACAAGAACATGATTTGCATTCGCAGAATTCGTGTTATTTCAGTTTCGCCTTATTTGGACTGATGGCGTTTGTGACTGACTGCCACAGACTATTTGCCTGTAGCAGTCTGATCTTCGTTACTTTTTTCTGGCAATTTTAATTTTATTGCCACATTATGATGTGCGTCGACCGAGCCTGGAATTGGAGTACGCATCTGTGTGTGTGGGGGGGGGGGCGCCATCATCAGATGCATTTGTGACACCAACCCAAAGTTTGGGAATGAACTACGTCTTAAAAACCTAAGCACATAATGATTTTTTCTCTCCACAGATTTGAGTTGGAGATCACATGCAAATGGCGTTCAATCTACACACCAATTTTTACTTTGAAGTTGTCGACGTTGAAAAATAATCGGTAGAGTAACATGAATTAATAGAGCACATTGTGGTCAAACGTGGTCGGAGCCAAATTCATAGTGACTTATGCCGACGAACGATTCGCAATGTACGTCTCACCGGTGCAGAACCTGAGGTCACTATCGTCCAGGAAAGGCGGAATAATTACGAACCGCAGTTTTTGAACAGTATGACAGAACGCAGTGAAAAAACTTTCCATCAACTTTAAACCATTCATTGGGCATCGAACCCTTTCGCACAGAGAGTGGACGGAGCAGAATAATAGCAACACCAGGTGGTGGTTGCTTATAAGGGAGAAAACTATATTGTGCTCACAGCCCGCGGTTGATTCCCTCGCATAAACATTTGTTTAATCGTTCACATGTATTAAACTGATTTCATGTGATTGATAAATAATGATGGCGGGCTCATTTCACTTTTAATTTTTACCTGCTTTCTTTGGCTAATGGCGGGTAAGTCGATATACGGTGCTCCTGGGATCAATGATTCGTGTGGCGAGTAGAATTTTACTTTGCAAGCAGAACGAGTAAACATCAGCTCCACAGTTCGTATGAAAAATAGTAGAAACACATGATGGTGGGAGCTTATAAAACTGTATAGTACTACAATGATTCTTCTGGAAAATGTTCTTAAGCAGTGTGCATAGATTAAAGAGTTTGGGGAAGGGGTTCAGCGTGAAAATGTGCACTGTATTTGGTAAGTGTTACCATGAGTAAACTGCAAAATGAATGTGTTGGTTTAAATAAGAAGAGCTTGCAAGTTCAATGCAGGCGACAGTTACAATTTAAAATCAATTGAGAGCTACCAGTTATCGATAGGGCCAGCAGATAAGAGACATAAAGAAATCCCCCGACTTAGATGGTTCCTATTTGAAATTAGATGGCTCCGTTGGGAAAGAGCTTGTAAAAATGACATTATATAACTGAGTTAATTAATATTTGTAAAAAATTTGAACAAACAATTCAATCAATTGCTTTTAATTTCCTTGGAGTTGTTCTGTAGCCTCAAATATTCCTAAAGCCAGCATATTGCATTCTACCTTTGAACTGCGAAGTCAGAGATTATTCACGTTCATACGTACTGGCTTTTCAGGTATATTCGATTCTTTCAGAACGGAAGCTACGCCCTCTTCGTCAATGACTTCACTTACGCATGTTATCGAACGCTACCAAAACCTGACCTTGTGCAATGCGTTCAATAACTTGGTACCAGGTGATCACATATTCCGCGCCACGTACTCAGCGCACGTGCAACACTGTATCAACTCTCGGGCTCCCACATCGAACAAACATTAGGAAGGCAGGACCAAAGACGCCACACGTATGCTCTCTGTCAATCCTCCAAATGGTAGTAACGGTGAAAAGTGTGCGATAGTACCTGTCGTCTATTATTACTTTACAACTGCGGATAACTACAACCCCTCCACTTTTCTTTAACCACATTTTTATCTCAGCTGCACATATGTGCGCATTGCACTTTATCATATATTAGAAGAGATTAAAGTATGCCCTCCTGATTGAGATACTTTACCGGCGCCCTTATCATGATTTGTGGGGGTCAGTGAGCACAGTTACTAGGGCTCGATTATCAAGCCTTTNCCACCAACAGCAGTTTACCCTGTAATTTCAAGCGTAAGTCAATAAAGAAAACAATGGGAGTTGGATATGGAAGGCGGTTATGGTAACGAATCAGATTGCTATGTGGAAAAAACCGATAATTATAAAAACTATTTATGTGGGCAGCCCTGATGTATTTATTTTTCATTCAACTGATCGTCGGCCCTCATACTACACCATTAGCTTATCTGCAATCGGTCCGATCACCCATGAGGAGGTGTATCATCTCAAAAGTATAAACACCACGAGTGCAGTAGGCCTAGCTTGCCTGGTTTTCGTTTAAGTGCTAATACGGCACTGATGCACTCACTCCAAGTGATTTTTGTGTTACCACATTAAACAATCGATATGCACATTTCCAAACTCTGATTCGCGGAACACTTTCATCATTGCTACCATTTGTAAGCAAACCTTTTAGTACATTAGCCGAGCAACTTGCAACCAAATTGGTCGCTCAAAATTAGCGTTTTTATCCCGAGAATCATACCAGAGGAAAAATGAAGTTAGTGATGAGCGTTGACCCGTGTATGTGGACCTGCAGTATGAGATTTAAGATGGTAACGGTATAGTGGAAATTGCCGGAAATTGTGCCATATCCGAGCTCGCATGAGAACTCATCACAGTTACGCCAAAAAGAGGGAATAAATAGCATTTGACAGACAAAATAGTGTTACTGTTCCTTTATCTACTATTATATTGAAATGATTCCACCCAACTGCCATCACTTCTACATGGCCGGTAACTGGCAGAGTTCACTATTCACATTCGTAGGCTATCTGGCATTATTGATTCCAATAAACCCCTTCAGTTTTTGAATAAACCAGGTAGATATACATTGGACTTTGTTGCTTCATTGATGCACTTTACATGTGTACATATTTACATGGTTCCGGATATCCCTACTTTTGCATCTGCCGTGATTATTCTTCCGCTTTCGACTTTTTTTACCATCTGTTCCTCTCCGGAAAGTTGCATTCACTCGCTGTATTCACCACTTTGTCATGACTGAAAAATTATTTTATGGGAAGGATTCAAAGAACGAAATTCAAGTGTATTTTTTTGAAAATCGATGGTGAGTCCTTCAGAATACCGAGCTTTCTTTGTAGCTATTTTCAACATTCTTCAGTGATTTAACCTACATTCGGCCAGCCCAGATTTCTAAATATGCTGATGAGGTAGTCTTGTGCCTAGCCACTTTAAAGCAGTTTTACAGAATCGTTTTCTGACAGTTTAGCGCGTCTAGTTGTATATATTAACCAATCCAGTCTGCAGTTGAATGCTTTGAAATGTTTCAAATGCATTTTTATTATTTTCTGGTGTGGGTATTCCTTGAAACTATCAGTCATCAAGTACGTACCCGTTATTCGCATACAAACCATCAAGCACCTAACAGTTACCATAGACAGCAATCTACGGTGGACCTCCCATATGAAATTTTGTGATGGAAGATTGCGCCGCTTATCCCTCATGGTACATCAGCTATTCAAGTCAAATCAAGTAAGGCTTTATGCACCCAACAGGATGAATTTTCAGCACTTTCGACAAATTTCCGTGAGTTAAATGTTGAGCGTTGGAAGAAAAAAAATACATTTACTAAATGAAAAACAAATGGATGTGATAAAAGCTTGATGTAACATGTGATTATTCAACTCAGTAATAATATTTGCTCGGTTGAACAAGATACGAACAAAATCAGGGATCATGCTGTTTTTGTATGTGGTGGTGCATGCACAAAGAATCCGACATTGGGAACGGGTATTCGGATGCGACAAAAACTTATTGAGATGGGCATGCAGGCAGTATTCTTTATTGTACAGTATATGGCTGATAAACCTGTCGCGTGAATCGAAATACTGGCTCACAGTGAAGTCAACAAAACGGTCTTTGAAA